TGCTTTTATAGCAATTACAGAACGTCCTACTGTTAGCCTAAGCCTTCCGAATTATCCTACAAATGATTTAACAAAAAAAAACCAAGATCACATGGCTCCCAAACTTCAATCGTAAAGGACATTGGGCAAAAATGTATGGACGCTGCACCCACGTCCACCACGGCTTAAACTACATTTGTTTGAAAGGTATTATAGTCATGATCATCTGTGCCAAAGCGCATCAAATTCCATCCTGGGGGTCTCTAGTTATTTTAAGTTAAATAGGAAAAAGTACTATATGGCTTCTACGGCTTTACGATAAACAATAATTTTATCACCATATTGCAACGCCTTGTCAACACAATTTTCCCGTACCACTATAAGCGCGCATGTGCAGCGTACGAGACAACGCTCGTTACACACTGTATCTAAAAGTACTGTTGCGTTGGCACGACATTGTAGTTAATTATGGCCTTTATGGCATAAGTGATTAATAAAATATGCACAATACTTACACAAATGCACAATACACGCGCGCGCACACACGTACACATACACACGCACACACACACGCACAAACACACACACACACACATATATTTTAGTTGGCATTTTGTTTATTTCAAAATTGTTATATTAAGTTGTGTTGGCGATTATTGTATAAATAGCATCATCTAGATACTTACCTGCAGTGATGAGAGAGCGGGTTCTCCTGATACAGGTTTTATTTAAAACTTACTAGGAGGACTCATCGACTAATTGTACTATTATGTTATTTAAAGAAATAAACAAATTTTCATTTTCATTTTTTCATTTTCATGGCAATCATGTTATCGTGCGTGTATTCGAACTAATCCTAGTATTGTCATATTTATTAATTCCATTTTATTATTAGCTTTCGCATCCTTTAGGTAAGTACTATGTTTTAGTAAAGGTATCTTTTGCGTCTGACTCGTACCCTAGTCAAAGTCAAAGAGTGATAAAGTTGCAAACGAGTTTTCATCAAGTAACAATCAACAGACGAAAGTTTCTTCAAGTTGTTTACAATTCAACAGTGAAACAAATTAACATTCACTGAACTTATATTAATTCCTGAACTTACTAATCAGATAACGGACTTACGAAGTATTTGTATTCTTAAATAAATGGCGAGGTGAATATTTTTAATTTACATATTTCAAAATGATCTGAGAATTGTGTCCCCATGGGGTAACAGTATTAATTTAATTCAAACTTTAAAGTTTATTTCACATCTTTACGACAGCTACATTTTAGTAGTGCATAAGAGGGCATCTCTTAGGGCATTTGTTGGATAGAACTTTCTTCAAAACTAGGAAAGCAAAACTTACAAATTTAGACGTTATTGTATGTCAAATTATAAGAGCTTGTGCTGCGTCAAGCGGGGCCCGGGGCGGGCGTCCGTGTTTGTTTCATAGACCCGCCTCTTGCGGCGCGGGCGGCGGAGACCACCTTGTGGTCGACGGGCACGCTCTAATGGTAGTACTAATAATCGAGTTCATTTACGTTATAGGCTTAAATTAAAACAAAAATGGAAGATACAGTACGCTCATACTAGTATCAAATAAAATATGCTCCGACTCAACTACATAAGTATAGCATAACTCTCAATGCACACTTCTGTAAACAAACATTCAATCGAGCGAGCGTGACATGTATGCTACAACGCAGCGCGAGCGTAACGGCGAGTCCACATCGCTTGGCTTGGCGACTGCGTTATCTTTTCTCTCTTTACAAACGGCTGAGTCGTACTGTTGTCCTTTTCTTGATAACAAATGGTGAAAAAGTATAACATTCATGACAAACCGTGATTTACGAGAAAAAAAGTTTTCATAATTTTACGAATGTAAAGTGTTGCCGTGTTTGCTATTTGATCTTGACCTATTTGTGTTCTTGATTATTGTTTTAACCACAGACATAGATTTTAACTTTATAAAACAGAATATACGCAATATTTTTATATTGAAGCAGCGTGTTTGCAGCGTATTTGAATGTCCAATTGTGACTAAAGCGAATTGTGGCCATGCACCACAATTTAAGCGGATCAGTTTCCCTTCTTCCCTTCTTGTTTTAATCTAAGGTTATAGGCATTTATCGGTATATAATAAGGTTGGACTTTGTAAAGTCGACAAACTTTAAAGAAAAATTTACTAGAAAAAATGTTACGTGGTGCAGGCAACATTTTAGTTAGTGCATCCGCCCGGATAGCGATGGGTGCCGGTTTCAGTCCCGTCTGCTATCTGGACCGCGTGCAACATCATTCAGATAAATGCTTAGAGAGGAAATATAATCTAAAAACTTTTCCCAATAGATTTCAACACACAGGCAAACACTAGTAAGGAACCAAAGTTTCATGGCGTCGCCTACTCAGAGGTCCCGGGTTCGAGTCTCGGATGAATACGAGCATTTGTACGTTAGTCAAGGATGTTTATTTATATATTTCTAGATAAAATATACTTATATAAGTATTCGTATATGTATTTTATCCGTTATCCTAGCATCCCATAACACAAGCCTTATAGTGCTTACTCCATAGTACCACACACACCAATAAGCCAAAGTCTTCAAACATTTTTATTTATTTTTCTTCATTGATCATAATATTTTCTACATTAAACCGCTTAATTCGTAAATCGAACGAAAATTTTACTATAAATAATTTCACTCGGCCTCGGTGTCAGGTTGGCATTGAACCGCGTCTTCCGCTATCCGGGCGGGTGCACTAACTGTTTCGGATTTTCGTTAGGTTCAAACTAATAATAAAGTAACTATAGGTAACTGTTCAAGAGGGGAGAGGAGGGGCACAGAGGGGTGATGACGGGGTACAGTAAACGAAATTCTATTTAGTCCGTCAGTTAGATGGTCAAAAAATAATGGACACGTATTTTTTCTTTGGGCAATCAACCAAAAAATGACAAAGTTATAGCGCGTCAAAGTTTGGGAGTAGGGGCTCGTGAATTTTCACTTAAAAGTGTACCAAAACGTGACGTCATGCGACTTTTCAAATCAGTATATCTCTGCAATGTTTATATTATGTGAAAAAAGAAAAAATACGTGTCCAATACTTTTTGATAATCTACTTGATAAACGAAAAAATTAGTCATCATCCCTCCTCCACTTACAGAAAACGATAGTAAAATAACACTGACTTTTGATGGTGTTGTGTTTCTGCTGGTGAATTGGCTGGTGCTCCGCGGGGTAGGAGATTGGGTTTAGGCAAGGTGAACTGAACTGCACCAACACTTAATATCAGGCGAGTGGGGAAATCGCTGCGCCCCGTATACAAAAAAAAAGAATTAAGCCAATAACTTCAATGGTACATTGCATATCGGAAACTGTGCAACTGACCGTTGCCCGGGCAGCTGTCACGGTATCCAGCATGTTTGAAAAATATTTTTTGTTGCTAATCTGTACAGGACTGTCATGGCGGAAGTTACGATAGCTAAATATATTTGTTGGACATTTTTGACTACAATGTATTTTCATTTTAATACCTAGTTCAAATAATCTTTTCGAATGCTAGTGACTTTACACGAGTAGCATTATTTCTATTCGTTTGAACGGTAACGGTAACTATGAAGTAATAAGCAATAAATTAATGAAATAATATGTCGTAAATTTAAAACACATTAAGTTTTTATTTATTTTTAGCAACTGCTAGATGTTTAAATCTAAAGTTAAATAAAAAGTTGACTAGAAAAAAATCCACGTGGACCAGGCAGCGGACGGGACTCGAACCCGCACCCTTCGCAATCCGGGCGAATGCACTGACCATTATGCTATAATCGAAATTTTCCTAGCCTTAAGCTGCAAGGCAGCGCCATCTCTTCGCATTGTAGGTAACCCACAATGTCAAATGAATACTTTTTCAAGTATTAAGCATTTGAAAGAAGAAATAGCAATTATAGTTATGTTTTTTTTTTAAGCATTTAACTGCTAGCTGTTCAAAGCTAAAGAAAAGTTTACTAGATTTTTTTTTCTTGTAAACTTTTCTTTAGATTTAAACATTGACTATTTTTCAGCATTACGTAGCTTGAAAATTAGATCAACTTGATTGATTTAATTCTCTTCGCGTTCGAAATTATTTTAACGTTTTCGCACGCACGATGCATGCGTGCGTGCTCTGTAAATATTAATGACATTGCCTTTCAGATGAACTCCGTTCATTACGTCCACAGTACAAATTTATTTTTTCGATCATCACCCATAGCATTTAGACTCCGTTACTTTTAGTCTAATAAACGCTCTTTCCGACACATCTAGCTCTCGATTCAGTACTTTTATATTCACATCAGCTTTGGGACCGTATTGTATACCTATAGCGAGTGTTTGCGAGTATTATGGCTGTTTGCTTTTTTTAGTCATTATCCCAACGATACATTTACTCTGTTTCCTGCACAAAATCTTTTCTTTATACAGCTGTAAACCTTCTGTTTTTGTTTAAATCCATTCCTGTTACATACAGAACTAAAAATATATAAAGTGAGTGATTTAATAAAAGCTCCAGCATTTCGAGTGAAATTCTTGTGTTCAATATTGTATATAATATATACACATTATTATTATTATTCGAATCAAATAAAATTAAATACCTATTTTAATTTATTATAGATAGATATTATATAAATTCTAAATTGTAATAGTCAGCTATGGTACTTATTAGCGTTTTTATATAATCAAAGGTGTCACTCTCCCTCTGTAATAAATTGATTGCTGTGCCCGACGGGGTCCATGATTGAGCATATTATTTTGTAACATCTTGTATAACTTATAGAAAGCAATGAAACATTGAGTATTGTTCTGGATTTATTTCTTTCGCATGCCATTATCTTAGACTTTCTGTATTATCAAGAATTCACATAATATTTATGAATACCGGAATATCTATGTGTAAGACGAAAATTTAAGTGGAGTTTATTTTTTGCAACTCCCAGATAGGAGGAGTTGAGTTGCAAAACCGCTTTCAAAATAATTTTGAAGACACTTTGTAAAAAGAGGCTTTGTGAGATACCTTACCCTTAAAAGGTAAACTTCTTGCATAAGGATAATTGAAAACTGGAAAGGCTGAAATAACAAGCTTAACTAAATAAAGGTTTCTTTAAATAAATCAAGCATAAATATAAACGTCAAATTTGATACTCTTCCCTCGGGAACTCTTCATTCGTAGATTAACGTAATTGTATCCGATTCCGCCTTGAGTGATGTTCGCTGTTGCATCAGAATTACTTAAATCGTAGGCCAAAACACCCTGTAAAAGAAATAGAAATTCATACTTTAAAAAACCGATGCATTAAGTATAACTCACCACCTAAGAGTTCAGTATCATGGTACAATATTTCAATTTCAAAAAATAGAACCAAACAATTATTTAGAGTAGCTTTGAGAAGACTTTTAATTTGAAAGCTAACTAGAGCCGATGTCCGTGTCTCAAACACCCTCTAGCTGAGCTGTCCCCCTCAGGTTCGAGTAGTCTAGAGGCTCCAGACGAAGAGACTTCCCCCGTGAGGAGATGACATCCGCCTGGAGTACCTCTAGAGGCACTCGCCAATTCTCGGCTTGAGGTCCTTCTAGGATCTCGCCATCCCTAAACCTAAACCCAGTTACGCTGTAAAGGTCATCTGGAACCAACAGCACACACACTCAAAAAAAAAGCTTCATACGAACTTATCGGTATCTGTCTAAACAGTTCGTTTATCACGGAAATCTTGTTCAAAAATGTTTCTTGTTTCTTTGCATTATTCCTTTACTCGTGCTAAATTACATGACACTGATTATGATAGGTATGAACATACACATATCAAAAAAAGTTTGCGATCACTTTGAAAAATAGATTGTTTTTTGTGTTACATGAGACTTTTTTGTAATTTCTTTTTCTGATAAGATTATAATTTTAAAATTAGAACGTAAAAATAGACACGCAATCCAAGCTGACACTCATCCAGAAATCTGACTTAGTCAATATCATTTATTATTATGTTTATTTAGAAACGCTAGAAAGTCCGGAAAGTAAATGTGTTTGGGTTTCCAAGATACAGGCTTATCCTAGTTTGGGAACCGCTGTATATTCGGCTATGCGTTCTCCCAGTGCATAAATGCTCCATACTTATAACTGCAGTACAAATAAATAAATTATTATTAGGCTGTGCTTGAGTGTCAACGTCAACGATATTTAATATCGTTGGTGAACGTATTAAAAGTAAGGCATTGGTCCCGGCTATATCCGCCGACGTTAGCTATATGGGGTTCATGTAAAGAGTTATCCTTATAGACTTTTCTACCTAAATTATAAGTTAAGTCTCTGGAGAAGGCCTGTACTCCATTAGTGATTACGATGAAATGTATTTGGTTCCTTATGGACCATTAATAAATATTTGTGACCACTCAATTTTCAGTTAAATTTAAAAAACTTAAATCAGTTGTTCATATTTCTTAATAATTATTAAACCACAACAAAAACATACAACTTATTAAACCTTGACTATATTGAAAGATAAAGGTGTTATCACCATGACCTTGATTACAAATGAAATTTACAATTCGTATGAAATTAAACATTTACAAGTTTATCAGTATTGTTTACTACTTTTAATAAGTTTTGCCGGTGATGAGATGAGGTCATTCCAACAGGAATTATTTGATTATGGTTTATTATTGTTAAGTTAAGCAACTTTATCAGTTGTCGAAAGGTGCTCAAAAAATGGATGTAATTGTGCTCTGTAAACGAATGCAGGAAACAGTTCCATTGTAACGAACGAAATGGCAATACTCTCATGATTTGAAAGATAAGGGAAGAATGGGCCATTATTTCAGCGCAAAATACGGCTTATGACCCATAAAATTGCAATCTCAAAAAATGCAGGAGATTTCAATATCGAAATTCGTGGGTGATTAGCGCGTTCGGCTGCGATCGTTAAAGTTAAGTAACTTCCGCAATGGTCTGTCATTGGATGGGGGCACGTTAAGCTGTGAGTCCCTGTTGCATCTGCAGTCATTAGCACCCACCAATCAGCACTGGGTCCGCGTGGTGGGTCACGGCCCAGTCTCCCTATGCCATCCATAGGGAAGGCCTGTGGCCCAGCAGTGGGGGCATTAATAGGTTGATGATGATGCATCGTGCTCGTTTCTATGGAGCTGCGCCTTTGTATTTTGGGCTAAGACTAATTGCACAAAATCTGGTAGCTGTCGTAATGGGGGTAAGAAAAAAACTTTGTTAAAAGAGACCTTGGGCTCTGGAAGTACAGTTTTACCAATAAAACCTGTTGTTTCACTTCATTGTTTTTATAATTTAAATTGCGGACATCCTTAAACACTTCACTCTTTTTATAATCCGCCACGAAGTCTATTTGTCGTTACACCACTGACCATTGACAAATACAAGCAAAACATGACCTGTAAACTGTTTACTCGCTCCAAAAATGTCGCATCTCGTGTTTAGATACAAGCTGCAACAGTTTTTCACGATGACGTAACGTGTTGCTATGCCACACGATTCCTGTTACAATTTGCGACATTTTTAGTTTTTGTAGCATGCGGCCTTGTGGCATGCTGAAATGACGCAAAGTGTTGCCCGGCGTAAATAAGCCTCAAAGGAAACGTAAGAGTGTTTACACATACGAGTAATAAGAACCGTGTCTAGTTTGTTCAGCTGTTAGAAATGTAAATTCGATAATTGAGTTTATGTTTAAAATCGGTTTGCTATTTGGCTTTAAGTCCTGGAAACCTTGCGTCTTGTAACGCTTAATTTTCACCAACAAGCATAACTTCTGTCTGTAAATACAACCACTGCTTAATACGTTTAAAACTAAAGTGTATACAAACACTTCGGTCTAATGAAATCCTTATTTTCACTACATATTATTATCATCATCAGCCTATTTTATGTCCCCACTGCAGGGGCATAGGTCTTCCCTATGGATGGAACAGGGAGACTGGGCCGTGACCCACCACGCTGGCCCAGCGCGCTGGCTTACTGCATATACAATAAAATAATTATGAATGATGAGCTCACCTGGATAACACGACCGGCGTTTGCAGGCAAAGTCGGAAGAACATAGTACAAGTTCTCAATTCTCTTCCGGAACACCAACGAGGAGTAATAGACGTTACTATGGTACACCTGCGGTCTCATCACGTTAGTACCCACGAAAGTATGGCCACATTCCACCACAGCCACGGCGGCTAACAGTAAGGCAATGTACAACTTCATCTTGCTAATCCGAAAATCGGAATGGCATAATACGTGAGTTTCTTAATAAATTTATACGCTGTTATCGAGCCGTGATAAACTTAGAGTCATCTGTGTTTTAGGTATGTTGTTTTAGCTCTTATATAATGACTGTCCCGGTGGTATGATTATAATTATGTGTTACTAATTTAAGTTAGCAATTCTTGTATGGTATCCGTGTAGTTTTGTAATGGATCTATGGACCATAGTCCCTATATTTAATATTTTATCATTCAATTGTATTATGATTTCTTTGTTGTTACTCGTATATTAAAATGAATTATTTATCAGTCTCGTAAACGTTAACTTTCATTATCAATTTGTATTCATTCTAATGGAATATTTGTTATTCCCAAAATCGTTAACATTCATTAAGACAATAGATAGTATTATAATGATGTGCATCCTATTTGTACTGTTAAACTTACTGAGTTAATGTTTGACTCATTTAACAATAGATAATATTATCTACACTGTATACAAGGGTCGTGGTGAGCATTCACTAATTAACACTAATATAAAAGCCCGCCACCGTAAGTTAGTGTTGTCTTCGTTAAGTTCAATTAAGTAAAGTTCATAGTCTCAAAGTGTTGTCTCAATTCGACGTATCCTCAAGCACCTACCATTAAAGCCACCGCTCGGGCCATCACAGTTTCGCTTATCTCGGAAATGATTTGTATGCCATTTGAAACAAGAAAAAAGTGCATTCCATATACCTACTTGCATTGTCTTTTTTTTTTCAAAAAATATAACGTTCAGAAACTCGAACTTTTATAACATTTATGTCGATCGATTAAAAGATTTTTAACGAATGAGATATAATGATAACACTGTCTTTTATAATTTTTAACAGTATTAAAATCACCGAAAAGTTTATAAAATCCGTTCGAAAGACGTAACAAAATGAGAAAGAGAACTCTAGTCTGTTTCAAACGAATTAAGCAAACAAACAGGTAGGTATGTCTGACCACAGACAGTTTAGTGTTGGGGATTCATAGAGCCTTATCAAAATCAATTGCACAATTGAATGATCATATTGTTACGTGTCGGGATGGGGTATGAAATTATATGCCAGTTCACGCTTGACAGTTATTTATTCACCACACAGTTCACACAATTAACACACAATGTTAATTACAAAACACTCACTAAACACTGTATTTCACTATACAAGTCTCTAAACTATCGCACTTGAACACTTTGATCGCCTTTGGATTCGCTCCGAAATCGCTGTGGAAACTCAACTCTCCTTGCGCGGCGCCAATCGCGCTTATATACGTCGATCGACGCATTCTAGAAAGTACCTGTTAAATTGAGAATTAGCAAGCACCCGCGAGTACAAAGTACCTACTACAAGCAGGTAACGCGCAAAACTTGTAAACAAGTGCAGATGTCGTTGCACTTTCTACCTTACGCCGCACTGCATAAAGCTCAATTTAAAATGAGCCGCATTAGTCGACCTCTATCGCGACCCGCGGTGATCTGGAAAATTCGATCTCTAGCACTTTCGCGGTTACGTTTCGAGAGCGTTTGTGACAATATTATTCGAAATTGTTAAAAATCTATAAGCCTTAATTTGTATCATTAATAAATGTTTCGTCAATTTATGTTTTTATTTATTTATGTTTACTTATGTGAGGATGTGTTTAAATTGTGAAGTGTCTGGAATCCAGTGGTTCGTATGTACAAAAACTGCAAAAATCAGAAAAGTGTCGTACCGCGATCTGATACTGTGAGTATTGTGTGTCGGGAACAGGTGCGAGTGAATAGTGAGAATGTGACCAGTGGTAGGGTTATCGAGCGCAGTAAAAGACGACGTCAGAGGGTAGACCAATATGTCTGCCAATAACATCTACCCGCAATTACTTCAGTTACTTCGTGATCATGGTGCTTGCAACAGTGTCGAAATATCAGAGACTCATTAAAAACAAAGTACATGGTAAAAATCATGTTAATAGCTATAATGAGATGATTTTCAGCCCATAACTTTTTATTTAATCGATTAACTATTCGATTATTTATGTCAATTGAAATAATTTAAATAGACTTTTGGTGCATCTTCGAGGGTGACATAATCAATCTGATTAAACCCTCTATAACAATAAAAAGATAAAAAAAAAACACTGTTCAACCATACACAACAGACAATTCCCGTCTGCCAGCAAGATAGAACAAAGAAATATCTTAAACATATAAAGATTATAAACAAATAAATAACATAAACCTACACAAATATCTACACATACATATTATGCATTATTATATATTTATTGATACAGCAGACTAGGCTCTAAGTAGGAGAAAATCATGAAGAATATTTTTAAAATGTCAATTGACTTAGCGTGACGAATCTCAGGCGGAAGCTTGTTCCAAAGTAGTGCAGCTTTAATCTTAAAAGAGTTTTTAATAAAATATGATTTTTTCATAAATTAATAAAGAAATAAATGCTATATAAGATAGTAAATTAATATGTCAAACCCCTAGGAATGCAAATTAATGTGTTGAGAAATCCATTTAGTGATTCATTGCGTGGGAATTGAGAGCTAAAGTGTTTGTTTACCTTTGGTGTAAATTCATTTGGAACAGACTAGACACACGGAATTACTTTTGGCTTTATACGTGTATAAGTATAACTTTGGATTGTAGATTGTAGATAATATTTATTCAAATACCTTAAACGTTAAACCTTTGATGTTCAATCACACTCGAACGGCATAGATGTTTGTAGTGAAATTGTATAAGCAATATATTTTGTATACAAAACCAAGCTTTACTCGAATAAAGCTAAATGCGAAAGTAAAAGAGTGTCGGTTTAGTCTGTTACTTCTTCACGCTTGAACAGCTGAACCGATTTAAATGAAATTAGAAAGATAGAAAGGAAATATTTTTTATTAACCCTTAAAAAACACAAAATGATTAAATGGTACTTATGCAGCAAGGGCTCACCAGGACCCTGCCTCATCATTAGCTGATGCGACATTGTGTCGCACCAGCGCTGATATTCTGGCAGGGCCTGCTTGAAGAACACTAAATATGAACAAGAAATAAAAATATATGGACTGTTAAACACTATACCCTGTCTGCGCGTCGCGCTTCGCGCTCTTGCATTGCGCAGTCGGGTAAAAAAACTACAAACACATGAACAAGTCACAACATAAAAGATAGCGTTGTTTTTAAACCATTCCAACCATAGATTTACTTAAAAACAAAGATCATTGAAACAATCAGTCGCGCAGTAATTACATAATAAAATGAAAAACTGCATGGACCTGGGATCTTTATGCTTTCAAAGAAAAATATAAGATATATATAAGAAGTTTATATAGGAAACCATTTTATCACGCAGACAAACTAATATAATAATTATACGTTATAGAACAGACACAAATATTTCTAAATTGTGTATTTCAAAACTTACACGTTTCACGAATATTTTCAAATTGTTCAACTATTTTACTTAATATGAAATTCCTTCGCGCTCTCTGGGGCGGGCGCCGGACGAGGCGCGTTCACGATATTTCGTTTCTGTTATATATGTGAGGTTTGCGTATGAATTTCGAAACGAAAATGGCTGGCTGGGCTATGTATAGAAATATTAGGTTTCGAAAATTTTCATATATTTTCTCATATCCGTTGAACAGTGTAAATATTTCCTACGACCTACAAATGAGATGCGCAAAGTAAATAACACCGATAAGCAAAAATAATGTGTCCGTTTAAAAAGTAACGCTTTAGAGAAAAACTGGCTGTCCCAGCGAACTTCGTACCGCCATAAAAAAATAGGGGTTGGTGGTGAACGGTGAGAATTTAGGGTTGTATGTATTTTTGTATGATGTATCATAAAAAAAAACAAAAAATTTAGTCCAATAAAAAAAATAAGGGTGGACCACCTTACACATTTAGGGGGATGAAAAATAGATGTTGTCCGATTCACAGACCTACTGAATATGCATATAAAATTTCACGAAAATCGGTGGAGCCCTTTCGGAGTAGTTCAATTACGCCCACACGAGAATTTTATATATTAGAAGTAACGCCATGATTTGTAACAAAAGTAACGTTCTGACAACGCTGATTGTTATTAGGATACTAGTTTGTAAGTGAAACTTCGCCACAAAACTTTTGCTTCATCTTTAGCATGTCGCATTACATTTTAATTTTTTATGGAAATAAAAACAAAAGATAATACAACTTGTTTACCTTTAGGCAATTTACTGCATGCATGCAATGCATGCAAATGCATGTCTGATAGATCTGAGCTGAGGAAGGCCTATCAGTTTCTCCAGGTTATCAGAGGGTTTTCGGGAAATGTGTCCAAAGTCTTGCAACACTTTTTGAAGCAGACACTCGAAAGTCTCTATGCGACATTTAAATCCCTCCAAATCAACTCAGATTACAGAACAAAAGGCAGATGAGATTCGCACGGTATAAGCAAAGTGAGCCTTGCAACTAGGGTTACCATTTAGGAATTTCAATAGTCATGAGAAAAAATGACATTTCGAAAAAAAGTCCGGACTTTTTAGTCACAAAACGGTACCATTACTCACATATTTACAATGGTATGGTATTTCAATCAAAATGTACTTTTATTATTCATATTCAGTGTAATTTCAAAAATCCGGACAATTTAAAGATCCGGACGAAGTCAGAATCAGAATCAGAATTTTATTTGTGAAACATAGGTGGTATATAAAATTTTTGTTAGTATCACTACATTTCCACATTAATTAAGGTATATGTACAAATAGATATGGAGCTATGAAAGAAGTACTATTATTTTTACATTGTAATCACAATTTATGAATATAATTTGAAATTGTCTATTGTTACATGCATGTCAAAGTAGATTATAAATTAATTATAAAGGACAATGGCGAACTCCCATACAAATTTTTGTTGAAATTTTTTTTTGCGTCTATAAATGAATTGCATCTTAAATTATAGAGTTTTGATTCTCGATTTGATTCGTCTTATTTCTATTATTAAAGGAAGTCTAGATTT